GAGGAGGACTAAGATGGCAGGTTTGTTCTCCTCGCCGTGTTTCATAAGGCAGGGCGCTGTGTAAGTGCGCAGTTGGCAAGTTTGGGTCCCGCGTGAAAGGAGCGATTGATTGTAATGGCAATTGCATTCACGACCAAACCATTTTTAATATATTTCATCTTTGAATTAGCACGAAATTATTTAAATACCTTAATAGTGTTACGTACAGTAGTAGGTACTGAACTGATCTTTTACCACTCATGCTATTAAGCGTGGACTTCGCGGATCAGTCCAGTGCAGACACCGTTAAACAATGCAACGGACAACAGTGATATTGCCTGTTCGAAACAGGGTGCCGTGACAGGGTAGCCTGAGAACAAAAAGAAGGTACGTAACTCGTGGACATTCAATAGGTTCTATTGAGTGCTGCAAGCGCGGCGCTGTACGGTGATAAGACAATTAGTCACCTAGTAGTGAAATACCTGATAACTGCTATCATCTCTAGCACAACCACACTACTACCCAACCACGGCTCCAACCATTATGATTCCCAACTCAAGCTGCAGTCCTCATTCCTCCTACATGTGGAATGTCTGCCTCATCCTAAACAAATGGACTGGACCACGTGTAAACTGTTGCATGTCGCAACCGCATGCAGAACAAACCTCCTCCCCCCTCTAGTGGCAACGTCAAATAGGCTACAGTCATTCATGAGTATTTAATAATTTGAAATGTTGGTGCCCTGAAATACTTCAGCCATGCTGGCAAATCTCTCTGCGTGGAAGTCTTCGTGGCACTAGATGAATGCAGGAATGAGTGTACCCATGAGTGTAGCAGTGAAGCATTTAAAAAGACAAATCCCCTTCTCATATCAAGCAAAGTAATCTTCTTCATCTTCTGTTAACTTGACTTACTCAAACGTGCTCATTAACGATTTAAAGTGGAATAAAATGATTGCGTAAAGCTTTTGAAGTAGTTAGGCCTGATCTACAAAGTCTAGGCATGCCTAAACGGAGTGCCTAATCATGGAGCCTTTTGGAGTTGGTAAATTCTGCCTTAAAGAGTAATGTTAAAGAGCAGAAAATTTTCCCTCTTTGCAAAGGGATACTTTTTGTTACTTCTGCTGAGTATTCTTCGTATTTTCCTAGCATTTCAACCCATTCAAGTGGCCTATTTAGTGAATGCTGAAGGATAGAAAGCCCCAAATTGCGCGGCTCCCCACATGTACAGCAAAAGCTAAAATAAATGACATATGGTTTATGTGTTATAACTTTCCGCACACTAAAGGAAGTCATTATAACGCTAACCCTGCTTTGATGCTCCACACAAGTAGGGCATTTCACTAATTCCGTGTGTTCTTCACTTAATAATAGGGAAAAATAGCTGCATTCCAGCTGCAATGCCGTAAAAGGAGTCTGCGCACTCCCAGGACAACTGAATCATCGTGTCTCTAGTGGACTAATTAATCTACTATGTGCATTCAGTAGGGAAATCTCGCACTTCGTCCTTCGGCTTTACCCACATTTACTGAGCGTTGCCTCGTCCAATATGCCTTCCCCATCAAGCAATTCGAAGGCACAGTGGTAATAATTCCCTGTGCACCAAGCTATTTCATTAGAAATTTTTCTGGAAGGAGACGGTTCAGTGGTTTATTCGATGCATTGCTAATACTATTTTTTCCTTCAGGTCACATTATCCTCCATTCTCTTGTACGACCCAAAAAAAAAAGATTTTTTCGCCTTTACTGCTAAAGCAAGTAATAATTCCAACAACTTTTACGAATGAGTGGTAGCTATGGAATTTAATCGCTTCACTGAGTAGGCATTCGCTAAGATTGTCGCTTTTCTACTTTCTTACTGAGTCTAGGGCTTGATCAGGTCCTACTCCCCTCCAACTTGTTTATGCCCCTGTGGTACTTAACAGATTTTCCGCTCCTACTTCACGCAAAATTGACATAATTTTAGGCGGATCTTATCACCACTGCTAAAGCACCTGTAACTTAATGCATTTTAACCAAGTAATAAAAATTTAAATAAGGAGGCAGAGAGTAAGTCTACGCGAAATTGGTACATGTCAAAGACACTAAAGGAACTATTAATTTCTCTCCTCCCAAGAAACTCAACTCAAGCTTTCGATGTAAGGCTTGTTGTGTGCAAAAAATTTTAAGACTTATTTTATTTTTCTCTGTTCCCTTTTGTGCATTAATTGCGTAAAACTTGGAGTATCTTCTCAACTAACTTTTCTCTCGAGACCGTGAAGTTTTTTTCCGTAGCTCAGTATTTTAGGCAAATTGTGCCTTGAATACCTCCACAAAACACAATAAAGGCAAAATGTTTGCTCCCATTTGTTTTCCGAAAATCGTGAACCTGCTTGAGATCACTTTTCTTGGCAATTCTGTGCAACTCACAGCCGATGCTTCTTCCAGACTTTAAGAAATTACTTCTAACAATCCAAGGCGAGAATTTTTTCATTTTGTAATGCGAATTTCTTCCATTTGATCAATGTAGCGTTTCCGTAAAAATAACATTAAAACAAGTAAAAATAACGCTTTGGTTGACAAATCGATGTAAAGACCTCAGCATTAAAGTAGCAAAAGGGTCATCTAAAGGGCCACTGTCTTGATAAGGTTTCACGCTTGCCTTTAAAATTTCAAGTCAACAAGTCCTCAGTATTTCCTGGTTAGTTTACGCCAAATAATTGCCTTACTTCAACAAACCACTCTTGTGGCTTATCGGGGAATGCAATGCCTGAAATCGCTCTGTAAGTGCTTTACACATTTCGACATTTTCTCCCAGCCCATAGGTGACATCCCTAGCAGAGTCAAGAAATCCCAATTCTGCTTTTAAAAGCAAAAGGTCCGACTGCATATTTGAGAATCACTGTGATTGACGGCTTAGGCGATTAATATGGGCCACCCGTTCAAAAACCTCGTTAGACTTCGAATTTTCACCTGTGAGAGTGAAATAGGAGGTGACTCCTTCTTTAGAATTATCTAGAAATGTTATATCACCTCGTCCTGTTTTGCCGACAAAAAATGTTCAATGCAGTAGTAATTTTTTGAGGCCAAACGAAAGCAAATGCGTCTCAGAGAGCAATAAAGTTCTCCAGTAATTAATTTTACTGTTTTTAATAACACCTCAGCAATTTCCTTTATTTTTGGTTAATAATTACCTCGTCAAATGCTAATGGCAGTGAAACCACTCCCATGCTATGAATTCAAGGTGTGGCAAAGGCAACTAGGAAATTGCTAAGCCACCAACACCTTTTCTACCCCTCCGCTCTCCTCTTAGACAGCGCCGAATTTGCATGCTACGGGAGTCTCTGTGGAGGCGGAGGTGCTTTCCTGGCTCTTAACTTTCCCACCTATTATAGAGGCAAAACAGGCATGAATGAAGTCTGTTTCAGCTCTCTAAAGGTGTTTGGGGCTGCACCGTCCAGACCAGGGGCGTAACCCCTCCCACGAGAATCAACATTTTTAAGGCAGATAGGGAGTGCTATCAGGTTGCCTTTATCGAAGCTGGTAAAATGAAGACGGAAATGACGGTGATAGTTAAAGCTTGCAAAAAAATTGGCTTGCTTTTAATATTTTATTAACCGTAAGTGGATTGTACTAAAGTTGAACGGAAATGCCAATTTATGCACGATCTCCAATGCACTGCAAAATTCTCGCATCACGTAGGAGACAAGAAAATGGTACAAATTCCTTTCAAAGACCTACCAATGCATAAAAAGCCTGCAATCATAGAAAAACGTACCTCTTTCGACCTTCCAGAAGTTTTCACTTTCATGCCCAATGCCAGAGCATTCTGGGGTGCTGCGCTCCTGCTCTGCCGTCCCTCCATTTTGACGAAGATTATGTATGGCGCAGATGCACTTTATTTGCGTTAGTACTCACTGCAAGGCCAAGGTCAAACAATGCTACAAATACGTTGGATGCGGGGGCCAGGTCGTGCCACCACCACTCTCCACTGGCCAACCAGTTGGTTGCCACGTTCGCACTTGCCGTACCGTCAAGCCTGCTCATCGAAGTCCCTGCCCATTGACTACTCCAGTTGGCGCTTGACAGAGGGGAATTTCAAGCTCACACTCATGAATCTCGGTTAGCAAGACTTTAACTAGGTACGAAAGAATATCTGGTGAGTTCCTTTTATTATGTGGTTGATATGTCCGCTACCAGCGCCGTACATGCGGGATACGAAGATTGTCTTCTCTAGGCGCGGTGTCACATATATGTGACATCATTTCAGTTTATAGTAACTGGCTACCCTCAAATCGTATCGCAGATAGATTAGCCAAATGGAAAACGAAATGGACGTAGGATATCCTTGGTCCAGAGATAAACACTTTTTTATATATTTTGAGCCGTGAGCGATTTGGCACGACTGTGAATGGCAATGGGTATCGTATTGGGACAATAAAAGTGTCGGGATGTGGGGGTGGAGTGTTCTCTGAGACCTTAATGGAGAAAGTAATAAGTGTGAAATAACCGGCATCGTTAGGCTAAACTTTATTCTTAAAGTTCACCTCGACTTTCTCTCGCGTACTTATGATATGAAAGTTCATAAACACCGTCATTTCGGTTGCCCCCTTTGATCCGGGAAGATATATATATATATATTTTATCAGGGAGAATTAGTGTTATTTTCTACCTTTATTTGTCTTATGAAATCAGTGGAAGCATCATTTACGAATAAATAGATACTGAACATCCTATATGTTAGCAAGTGATTCAGGAAAGTGGGACTTGCTCCAAACGGTACCGACGGGTCATGCACAGCACAAATACTTATACACAAGCTAAAAAAACTAATATTGATTTTAGCCCTTTGTTACATGCCAACTCTTCGTCGCCATCGTAAAATTTTCTCTCTTTCCGTCATATGTGGAAGACTCCCTTTGGTGCAATCTCGTGGTATGACTTTGTCTCCATGGTTCTTCGTTTTCACGCATAGATGAACTGCCATGTCAATGACACACTCGAGCCATAAATAGTATTTTTGAAATATCAGAGAAAAAGTTTTTGAATCCAAAACCAAAATTTTATTTATAATGACTTAGTATAAAAGAGACTGATTCAAAATGAGGAAATTGACTGATTCTGTTAAAGGATTAAGGAAAGGGGAAAAATTTACTTCGTCTTAAGACAAACTGAATAAATTTAAAAATAACCAAGTAGTGATGCATTTGGATGATGACATAAAACGCATGCTCTGGGGAATATACCGCTATTCATTTAAGACTAGTAACTGATAGTAATCAAATGCGATTCAACAGGCAGCTTTTGACTGAATTTGAGCTTGTTTTAGCAACCTCCATGGCGTGACTGCTTGGATTAGAGCAACGCACATTCCTCAGCGTTGTGCACTCTCTCTCTCATCGCGTGGTACTTCTGTGGGTTTAGCCCTGACCACAGCAGAAGCAGATACGGCGACTTCCAACTTGTCCTCATCTAGCAACCGAATCACCGTGGTATACCAACCTGCTGCAATGCCATTTTTGCAGATACAAAGTCCCCAAACCTTCATTCACCATGCTGATTATATAACACTTTATGCATCCCATCCTTTCTCTAAAAATACGCGCAGGGATCTCTACTTATGCTTCGGAAGGGATTTTGCCTAGTTTTTCCTTTTGTCAGTGTCATTATGCATTGTGAGGACATATGAAGCGGACAGAAAACCTTATTAGAAAAGGCCATCTGGTAAGTAGGCTTTGAGCTGTTGTCGGGATAATAAAAAGGGGCACGCAACCATATGGTGCTTTCCTACTGCGCCTAATCGTGGGGGCTTGGGGCTCAGTTTTGCCCGGTCCTGTTCATGATTCACATCTGAGTCGGCGTGCTATGTGGAGGCTTGGTTTGACTTTTTGGCTAATGTGAGGGCAACATTATTCCAAAAGGCTGTCGCGGTGACTGCCCAAGAGGAAGATGAATAAGATCCTCTGCCTGTTGGCACATCGATGATTGGTTTTGCACACGTGCCAACCAATCATTGACCACCGCCCACTCAAACGTTTCGGTCAAGAGAGCGAGGGTGGGCGCGATTGATAGAAAGGCACAAACGATGGCATAGTAGGCACTTGTTTTTCATTTTAGCATTCATTTTTAATTTGCCAGTAGTCCTTGCGGATCATCTGTTGGTATGTTGGATTAGATGGAGTGACATTTCGGCTCTAACTATTCCTTTTCCATGCTAAGAATGCCTTGTAACCTACAGAATATCAGCCTTTCTATTCTCCGGAAGGTTCCATCTTCACGGTTATTTCCCTAATGTTTCAAGATGTCGCGTCCCATCCCCCGCCCTCCTGGTGTACTTTAATCGCGTTAATAATCACTATAAGGGCAAGGTCAACCAATTACTATATTCTCGAGACCAAAATCACTCGGTGGCTTCCACAGTTTCCAATTTGAACCCGTCGGCAGGTAGACATCGTTACCTAGGTCTTGCATGTTGGTTACTCTGGCTGGGAACTCGACAGACTCCAGCCTCACTCACTCAAGTACCAGCTTATAACGCTATCACCCCTTACGTCCCCCTTGTTGCCTTTCTTCTAGGACCCAACTACTGAGTCTCAAGAGGTCCAAATGGAAAAAGAGGTGGAGTGAATGCTTCAAGTGTAGGCATCGAAGATGTAAACTGAGCATTTGGTTTCAGAGGCCAAGCATTATCTTAGGCAGTTTAAAAAAGTATCTTGGTTCAAATCAAGCCCCAACCTTTAATTTGCGAATATAAAAAGGGGATGGTGTTGAGGAAAGTGTTCTTTTACTATTATCAGATTTACACATCTTGGGCTAGTCTGGTCTCCGTTAGTCAAGATAATGGGAAACAGCGGTACTGTGTGCGTGGAATAGGAGTTTTGAGCAAAAACAAAGAAGTCAAACCCGCAGATGCCCGCACCTACGGGGGTATTCAAATATTTCAAAGACTACCGTCAAGAGACCACGTTCAGACGCCGCGTGGGACGTCTACCGCCCTATGGACACCTGAGCCAGGCCTGGTCCATGCTATTGCAAGCCGGGATTTCTGCGGAAACGATGAATCCAGTGCAGTCATTCACAAGCAATTGTAATTTTGAAAAGTCAGTGCACACAGAGTCTCAAGACAGCAACGTGGTTTCAGGAGAGTTAAGGCATGCTAAGGTGCTCCAGATACTGCTTAAATGTTGCTGTGTAACGAAGTATGGGATCCTGCACTCGGTGCACTGAAAAATTTAAAATTTAGCTAAAGATTTGGAGATAAGAAGTCTCATCCTACGATTTTCTCACCAAAAAAGATAGTCACACTTTTTATTGTTTCCCAAATTCATTCTCTATTGTTGCATTTTCTGTTCGACTATCCAAGCAAAAGAAACTGGTTCGTCAATTCCTTTTCTACCGGCAAAGCCGTGGTCACCTAGGTGGGCCTAATTTTCGCACAGTAAATTAAGGCATGATGCGAAATCGGTCCCCCTGTTGACACACAGGAAGTGTCAACTTGTGGCACTTGACTGAAATTCCCCACTTTTAGGCTGCTTATACCCTACAGAATGCTTATTTATTAAGTGGTTATGCTGGATTGTAAAGAAGAGCCAGTTAAACTTGTTAAAATTTAAATTGGTTAGCCTTTTTCGTTTTTTATACTGTTTTGCTGGAGCAGATTCTCTCCCATCCACTCATCTATGTTATGTGACATTTGACCATGCTTTTCTCGACTACTAGGTCCTCTGATCCGGTGATAGATTCAAAAGGGCCACGTACAATTTTCCTACTAGTAGACAAAAAACTTGGGAGCTAGGAGTCTTCTCCCATTGTCTTGTTCACCACAACTTGTCCTCAAAAGTGAAGAGATCTGAAATTTGGGAAAATAGATGGAAGATGAATGGGATTTGCTCGTGTCTCGTAAGTAAAGGACTCTTTTGCACTGGGAACTAGTCCTCTAAGGATGTAGAAAATTTGTTTTATTCTCATAGCTAGGTTAAATTCATCGTAAGTTGCCCAGATCAACATTAGCATAACTTCCCACAAGAAGGACGTTTTTGGAAAAACGGGTTCTTCAAAAAATGCCATGATTTAATGAGTTTTCAGTTTTGATAAATGTTACAATAAAATAAGGTTTCGTACACACTTAATGAGTCAAAAATAGAAGACTAATAAGAAGAGTATTTATGCCTCTTCAAAGGCATCCATTAGAGTTGTACTTCCATACTTGAATTGTTTAACTCACAGCTTTGGCAAAGGGGCCGCTGAGGGGGTTCCGCCATTGTTCCTTTGCCGTGTGGTCTAGCCTTCAGGCCATGTCAGTAGACCTCTATACCTTCCGTTTGTCGACAATACATATTCTGCCCGAGTATTATCTTCCTCCACCTTCTGGAAAGATGAGGCGTGCTACGGTACACCTGACAAAATAACACTTAGGCACATTCCCAAAACTAAATGCAATCAAATGGGCACATCTGCATTGCCAAATCGCCATAGTCCCTTACAGTTTTAGCTTCGATTCTTTAGGCCACTCAATCATCCCCACAGGGGAATTTGTTCAGAAGCAGTGTATCGGGCAACGCCAGGTGCCATGCAGCTCAAATGTCGCAATGAAGAAACTATACTTCGTGGGTTGGACGAAGCATTCTTTCATAAGTTTAAAGTTGTGTCATAAATGCGCGTGCTTTTTGATGGAAGAATTTCCTAATCACAAAACTAGGTCGGCATCAACATTCAACATTCTGGCTTCTCATGATATGATAATTTCTTCAAACTAGTGTTGCTGAAGGCTGCTCGCCACCGCTGTAATGATCGAAGACACACATAACGGTGAGAAACATGGACAAGAACATTGGTAAACGATTTGATTATAATACAAAAAGTAAAACATCTGCTTTTGTACCCAAAGGACCTTATAAGTCGACTACATAGTAAATTTCTTGTTTAGTCTGTTGAGTCTCGCTAGCCTTGAGAATTTCCTGAAGCAAAATTTGATGTGTATTTAGATAGGCAGAGAATAGAAGCCGCAGCAAGTGCCAAAAATTTTCAATACGTAGAAAGTAAAACTAAAAAGCTTTTTACAGCTAAGGTAGGATGCTAAATTCTTTTCTTTGGATTATCTAGGCAGTACAAAGAGTCAGTAGAATTACAAAACGTGCTTCTCAAAAACAACCGGCAAAATAGCAGGTATATCGAGTAAAATCAAGATTTGTAACCTTATTAAGGTACGCCATTATGAGTTGAGGGATTTGGTTTTACATTCCTTCCAACATATTTTCAATAATTGCAGCGTTTTACAACGAAAATAATTTTTGTATTTAATTTGCAAATATTCCAACGTCCTACTTAAGATCTTTGTGAGGCTACCAACAAATAAAATATTTCATAAATTTCCTACGGCTCGCAATTTACTTGAGTCAGTTTTATTTAACAAGAAGTATTCTGCCATCTGATAGCTTACCGGCAACTAAATAAAAGGTTAGATGCGCAGGGTTTTCTAAGTACCTTTGAAGTCTATTTTGTAACTACTTAAAAAATAATTTTGCCTGAGCAATTTTGTTTCAATTACTCGCAGGTGGCGACCGTGTCAAAGTGCAGTACGTCTCAAGTTTGCAGTAGGTTGATCCACAGATGCCTGTGTTTCTTCTAATTTATTACATCTCTTTGTTTTTATTGTCTGTGGATGCCCAAGTGCAACAGCAGTTGCCCCCCGACCAACCTACTCAGCAAAATTTACATCACGTTCAGGTGCCACGACCCCCTGATTCTCAAAACACCCAATCCGATCGTCAGCAAAATATCGCCCCACTTCAGCAGCCCTCACCTCAAAATGTTCAGCAACAACAACAACCCGTTTCCCACCAAAAGCTTAATGAACCAAATGGAAAACAAGTACTTGACCAACCTCAGAACGTTCAGCAACAACCTGGCGCCGTCCCAGTTCAGCAATTGAATGCCGCACCACCGCAGCAGTTCAATGTACCTCCAGGTCAACAGATGCCTGATCAGTCGAACTCTGTTCCGTTGCAGCAGTTTAATGTGCCGGCGCAGCAAATGGCTCAACAGCAGCCACCCGTGGTACAGCAACAACCAGGCACGGCGCCTCAACAACAGCGACTAGATGTGACCCCTCAACAGCAGCAACAGAGTAACGTACCACCTGCTCAACCAGTTCCAGGTCTGAAGCAGACTGGCGTTCCATTACAACAGCCAAGTGTTCAGCAGGTACCTCAGCAGGTTCCTGTGGCACAGCAACACCAGCAACCCTCTGCGCAATCTCCACCAGTTGCAAACCATCAGATCCCTCCTGCCCAATCTCCTCCAGCACCTTCCCACGTGCACAATGAACCGCCCCCCAGGAGCTACGAGCGTCATACTCACGATTCTCTGCCTCCCAAACCCAGACAGATGAAGTTCGAGCCACCGACTATCCTTCACCAGGACTCAGAACTGGACTTCTACTCACGTTTACCCTCCCCTCCGAAATCCGACCCTGATGTTTTCAGAAATGTGGATGCGCTCAGGCCTTTCCTCTCTCTCACTGTCAACGTGACACCAGCGGTGAAGGACTGTTACTTCTACGAGGCAGTGGCGGGATTTGAAGTTGACATTCAGGTGCTTGGCGGAGATGGAATGGACATTGGGCTCGCTGTGTTTGATCCCTCCGGCGCTCCGGTTATTTTACGCGATCCTGCCGGAGAGGCTAGTGTATCGTAAGTATGCCGCTTTTATTTACGTATCTAAAACGCCCATGTAGGATCGCAGTCCTCCCTCAATATCAGGGCAGGGCTTATGCTGTCTGCCTGGACAATCGGAAAGCGAGCTATGGTCGCAAAAAGGTCTACCTCGGCATCGATTTGCGTATCAATTGGGACAATCCCAGCCCGGCTGAGCAGGAGGTAATTAATCAGATGAAAAAAGGCTTGAGGATCGGAGACAATTCTATGGAGATGCGCAGGGTGTTTGATAACTTCGACCGTTTGACGGTAAGTCAAATTTGAAATGATCTGACAACGCATTTACCCACTGATTAAGTTATCCATTATCTTTTAAAGATCCTAGAATTCGGGAATATCCTGTCTTAAGGGCTTCTAAGCTAGTTTTTCATTGGTGGTGTCATTGTTATGGTGCTTTGCTTTTTTCGTAAACCCTGTGTTCAGTCCTTACCTAATGTGCTTAAACTTTCTTCATAATTAACGTCTCCTTAATAAGGTGGACATAGAGTCTTTCTTATTAAAGGACTCACTGGATCGAATCAGCGGGTTGCTGCACCGTACCCAGCGCTTGCAGCAACGCTCGCGTAACAACGCGGCTATGGATCGGGCCATGATGGAGGCGAATAAGGACCGCGTGACCTCATGGTCTACCTTCCAGGTGGTCCTCCTCATCCTTGTGGGCGTCATCCAAACTCGTCTCATCCGCAGTCTATTTGACGAGCAGAGCAGCCTCTACCGCCTCTGGGTGCATAATGGGGGTAGCAGGAGTGGTGGCGGCTCAAGGTTTAACACTCACGTTTCCGGCTTGCGCTGCTAACGCGGACTCACTCTGCACCCCATTGCCACATCACTAACATCGTGTTTTTGGTCTTTCTTGTCTCTCTCCTTGAGAACATGCTGTCTACTTCACTGTTCGTCTGTGTGCCTAATGTTATGTCTTTTTGTGGATGTGATGTCTCTGCAACCAAAATATGACACTTTTCTTCCTCTCGCATTGTCTTGTTCTGGTCTGCTTCCGTTTGTTTGTCAGTGAACTCATAATCGACTGGACCGGTCTGCAACTCAGGGCAATGACTCCTAGGCTCACTTTTTATCCATTGCAGTGACTACAATATGGCAGCAAGTGAGGCTGCGACATCGGGACCACCGGCGAGCGACCTAAGTGATCCAGTCGAGAAGGCAGCCTGGCAGACGGCTAATCAGGCAGCGGAGAAGATCTCCTCCCTCTATTATCGCTCTTTTGACAAACAGGGTCGTCTTGACTTACCCACCTTCTTTGTTGAATCGGTTACTCTCATTTGGAATGGCAACCAAGTTGTGGGTCGGCAGGCTGTAGTCGAGTTTCTGACCACCAAATTGCCCAAGAGCCAGACTACGGTACACACCATCTCCGCCCAACCTGTACAAAGTGAGTGAATGGGTATATAGTTAAGTGGTGAATTTTGGGGTTCTCTAGTAACTCAAGGTTACCAAGACTTCCAAACAATTTGCTTTGGATGAAATTTGAAAAATTTGGAGTTCTTTATGATCGTTGTTTTCTAATTATCATTACCTAGTTAAAGTGAAGGTGGAGGAGGGCAAAGATTCAATGAACAGTTTTTAAGCCATTTTCGCTGCAGCGATGAGAATGTTTCACAATTTACTCGTGGAGCTAACGCTGAAGCTAAAATCGCGTGCGATTTTGTCACAAAAGTATTAAACCATCAAATCGGATAGTTTTTTGACGTTAGCTGTATTAGCAAGTCCTTACCAACAAAACCCACTGGTTTATTGAGTAAATCCTGAGCTGCTTGTTTGGAATGTGATGGAACAGATCCAATCACTAGCATATTCGCTCTTAGTACCAGTACTAAGCCAATACAGTATGGCTCCCTTGTTTGATAATGGGTTATCCTCATCGCTTCCCGATTTTAGCTCAAATGTATCCACTTTTGTGTTGAACGTTTAATGGAGTTTTCTTGACGCGTGTGTCTAGTCCAGTTACCATTTCCGGTTAACGGTGATTACGAACGCCATATAACGGGTCGGTTCTAGCTATCTACATCCTTTAATAAAGTTCCTTATTCTCTCTATCTCCGCAGAAGTACTGAGTGGCGATAACACCGTCGTAATGGTAAACACTCTTGGGTCGATGAAATTTGAAGGGAACCCTGCGAAGATGTTTGCTGAAACCTTCTTTCTCATCAAGGACGGGAATCTCTGGCGCATTCAGTCGGCCACGTTCCGATTCATCGAGTGAAACATCGCACTGTATCATGCACCTTCAACACCACTGCCATGTACAGTTAGCTTTTTCCTTCTCTTCTATGAGCACTCTTCTACACTTTTTATGTTGTGGAAATGGTATCTAGTTCCCTTGTGTGGAAAGCTATTCATTGAGACGGACACGTACTTTCTCGTGCACACGTTGCAGGGTTCCGCCCTCCCCTCCAGTTGACATGCATAAGTGCCCGTGTCTTGATAGGCTCACATGAACTTAAGGTACGACAACCCGCTTGGTGGAAAAGGTGTTGGGGAATAAAAAGGAAATGTGTGCTTCCGTTCATTCATTGGGTCTAGGCATGAGGCAGAATCATCGACGAACGTATCAGAGATCTTTGTTCCACCTAGATGTAGACAGTTATCTCTGAATCATCGTTGAGAGAGGATCGAGAGTGGTGAGTGAGTTGGATCTTTTATGTAGTTTCCTTAGCAGGAAGCGATAAGTGAAATTGTTCTCTAGATTTGGTTAGAGTCGTTGATGGTCTGAATTTTAGCAATCCCGGTCTTTGCAACGAACGATGGGCGCATCGAGTGGCAGCGCTCGCAATCTGATACCGTTTCCAAGAGGTAGGTCTTGTTACTGTGACCTGAACCTGGCTTCCTTGTTTCAGGGTATGCAGAGTTCAGTCGATGCACTTGCCCTACTTACGTAGCCGAAATGCCAGCTGTGGATTTTTAACCAGTGCCATATGATAGGGATGCCTCCCTGCATGTCACTTGTGCTGCATAATTCATTCTGCGAATTACCCAGTGCTCTAACTCACCATAGACGGCCAGGGGCGTCGGATCACTAGTCCCACATTTTTAGGACACATAAAAAATGATTTCAAGGAGAGCAAATTGTACGTTGAAGACGCGGTAGATCTTGACACATTTTGAAATGTACACTGCCAACCAGAGGGTTAACTGTCTTTTCGGCTGTCCACAACTGTCAGGCATGCTGTAGCGTCTTGAAGGCTTGATAAGCCAAAGCAGTAGGGTAGAGGATTCATCGCTAATGTACGCGGGGGCTGGTACGCCATGAGCCAAAAAACGGAAGCAAAAATTGTGGGGATTAAAGAGGTTTCTTATCATAACGTTAATCAAGATAGATATTGAATCACTCCAGCATTTAAAGAGAGTTGTATTTTGCAAATCGTTTTTTTTGTCTCTTGAGCTACGTTGAAAGTATTTTAACGAATGAAAGCAGGTAAGGTGACCTGGCACATTTTTTGCTAGTGTTAGACATATGTGACATATCTAGGACCTCCGCGTCGCACATATGTGAAAGGTCAGATTGAGGGAGGGGGAGAGAATTTGTTAGGGGAGGCAAAACAGTTACATGTCATAACAATAAAAACATAGGGTGCGGTGACCCGTATCCCTCTGAGATCCTCGCAGTGGAAGCGCTAAATATGAGCAAATACCGCCCTTAGGGGTGCAGTGACGAGGGTTAGTTCATTTGCAGCAACTGAACAAAGCCCACAAGCGTACCAGATCGTCGTGCAGATTTCATCCACTTTTCCATCCCATTGTCATTTTATCCTCACCCAGTCGTGTATTCTGATTGTTCTCAATTTCTTGCAAGAGGAAAGGATACTGAATCCTCAGATGTTATTCATCATGCTCCGTTAGCATGCTAATCTTGTAAATTTTTCTTATGGAGGCGTTTTTTTCCCATTCTGTTCTGATCTTGCTCAACCACTGGCCATTTGGCAGAACTTGAGGCTTGGGCATTTGCAAAAGAATTGGGCCGTTCAAGTCGACATTTTGCTCTGAGTTTTCGCAGATTCTGCCACCTGCAACCGATCTCTCCCTTTAATAACATCATACTGTGGTGTCCAGGGAATGGAAAAGTCCAAGAAAATTTTTGCATTTTGCGATGGACTTGTCTATAGTGCCTCGAAACTTATCAGAAGATGGAATACTAGGGCAAAGTACAGAAGGGCTGGGAATTGGGGCTACTGGCATGGCCCGGAGGCTACGTCGCCGAGCCGAGGTACAATGGCAGAGCCGTAAGTACTAAACAAACGAAGTACTGTGTAGCCCCCTTCCCCTTATGATCACTGTCCCTAAAGCTCCGTGCAACTGTGAGGCTATTCGACTGCCACACCACTTATTCCTTTGGCCAATTTTAATGGACCTGGAGTTTCGTCCTATTTGGAAAATGTATTAGAAGGGGGAATACGCTGGCCATCGTCTATGTCTATCGCTAGTCTACAGAACACTGGCCCAAAAGCAGGGTCATTTAATAAAGAACGGGATTTGAAATAGTTCCGTGGGGATAAAGTTTCACGTCCATTCCGTGTTCTCTTCTTTGACACCTTCATGTGGGTACCGCGAATAGCCTTGTACCACCCTTTTCCAGATAATGCACGGCCAGTGTGGCAACAGTTTGTAGCATTTTGTAGAACATGGGACTGGTGCAGTTGCCGAAGTTGGGCCGCACTTTCGACCCTTATGTTAGAGGTCGGCACGGATTCGCTCATCCGCAGCATATATCCTCTTCTGCCACGTTAATGATTAACATTTAGCAATAGGAACCAGAGTAATTGTACTTTAAGATCGGGACCGTTTTTCTCTGCCACCAATGCAGCGCCCCGAGACTTCTATGAAGGCGAAATACCAGGAAAGGGAGCGGAAGGCCTACTGATATGGTCCAGAGGCCATGCTGCCCAAAAGAAGTACAAAGGCGGAGTTTAATGGGCTAGCGGAACTACAAAGAAGAGTCAAATAAACAATCATGATAAAGACACCGCCCATGCAGCTCCGTGAGGCATGCCAGTCTACGGGAATTAAGAGACCATGACTGAAACTTCATAATAACAGCGCAGAGGTCAAATCTCCACTCTGCCAAAGAAAGATCCAAATTATAATCAAGAAGTAAGTATAACTAAACAACGTATATATTTCTGCATCATAAGAATGGGCTGTCAACACTTCAACGAATATATGTGGAAATTAGGCAATGCCCATTGCCAAATGTGCATATTTATGTCACTTTCTAGGTTGTATGAAAAGTGTGCAACACTACAGAAAGAAAACGTGTGCTTACTAGCAAGCAATGAAGCTCCGTTCAGGACTGTCTAGTGCTCTACCTTCATTTGAAGCCTCAATGCATAGTCAGCTGCCGTGCCTCAAGACCACAGCGACCCAAATTAGGGGCGGTCAAGCGAGTGCCCTTATTGCTGTTTATTAGCAGGTAACTCACAGCTGCCACAGGAATTTGTGTAGCACACCAATTGAAGAGGGTAATTCCTATGTCCTTGTTTGCTGATGTTGCAGTTTTTTTTTCATGCAAATTAAGCACATACAACAATGGTTATAGGCCGAATCTGTTAGCTCGAATGAGGACGGGAAATTATGATATAGGGGTGTGTCAGTTCTGTGTTGTAAAATTTGGAATAGGCAAGAAGTGGCTATGTTCGTATTTTTCCGTCCACGTATAGTCGAAGAATATCACAAATAACGTAATTAAAAAATAATTCTCTTAAGATGTTCTGAAAGCTGACGCCATGTTGTGGCCCTGGCTTCTACGCGCTGTGCGATATGCGAAACCGGCAGCAGCAGCACATGCCACCGGACGTGCAATCAATGCAGACAGACGTGACCTGGTTGGCAGCAACCGCTTTATCGTCCCAAATACATCATATTTCACTCTTTCATCTCGTGGATGCAGTAAATACAAGAATTCCTATTTTACTTTGGTATGCTAATTAAATAGCCGTATCTCAAATAAGTATTTTCGGGTGCCTATTAGGAACAATCTAACTTGGTGATAACTTTACTCTTTTAATCTCGAAGCCCAATTTTTGAGATCTTCGAGTACAGCTTAGGAATAGCGTCGGGCAGTATCAGCACCTCCTCGGTCCCAGTCGATGGCCTCGCTTGAGGATACACCAAGTTAGGAAGTTGTAGAAATCCTGGAAGAGATAAACTGTAGTCCCAAGGTAGTGAAGAATTTCAGTAGTTTTTTGTTTTACTGCTTTCAGAAGAGAAAGTAGTAACAGTTAAAAAATTAATGAATGTTCCCTGATTGTATGGAATTTCAAGTATCAGAGGCCACACCTTTCAGACAATATCACAGAGCACCATTAGGGATCACTTTGTCTTGAAGATAGTGAAGAAGCCACTTGGCATCTATTGAGGCGCAAATATCAAGAGAAATCACTGCTCTCCTTAAACGGATTGCAAACAGCCACTCTTGATGGTTGGATAAGTGTGAAAAAAAACAATTCATATTGGTTGTATCTTTGCCCTCAGTTTACCGTAGCATCCAAAGTTCACGTATGCATGGAGACAGGTTTCTGTGATAAAGGTACTCAATGTCCATTCTCGCTACCTTGAACCTATTAGTGCCACGACTCCCAGATCATCGTGGTCAGATCATTGCTTATCCGTAGAACTGAAACAGGAGCTTCCACCTTTCGCATCTTCGTGTCACAGAAATAATACGCCGGAAAATACGTGTCCGTCAAAAAAACTTAATAACGTCACCCATCAATCATGGATGGTGTTTACTGGGGTGCGAATAGTATCGTAAAATTGTTAGCCAAACCTTCATAAATTACAAAGAATTTGCACAGCGTAGAATGCGGTAAGATTCTTTATTCGTTATCCTCGAAACTCGTTCTTCAAGAAGGGTTTCGGGATATGGTACGATGTTGGTATTGATGGTGTCCAGATAAGTGCCCCTTTAAATCTAATGGAGCTGATTCATGTGGCGAATTCTAGGGGATTCCTTGTCTATAGGAGGCCTCTTGCTTGTTTATTTCAGTAGATTTGACCGTGGTGGCAGAAGAACCAAAAGCATCATAGGTTTTTGCTAGCCGAAGGTCCACCGCAGCATCCCACGAAATGAGCTACTTTTATGCAAAAGCCAAGTAGCTGACATCTCCTTTTTCTCCATACACAAACCTCAGCTCCAAACAAGCAACTCTCACCTATAAGCTCATGTTGATTCATCGCAAAAGCAAACATCCGAGAGTTTATTTGAGGATGAACTACGCTGTGGTCCACTACATTCAACCGCATTGTCAGTTATGGTAAAGGGATTAGACTTACTTTCATTTATTTTTCAACGAGGCCCGATTTGTCAATCGCTTTTGCGAATCCCCACTCACAGGGCAAAAAAGATGGGCTGCAATTCACACTCCAGCAAACATTGCGAGCTGCAAAAATAGTCAACAGCCTCATTCGTCTTTGCCAAACAATTATTCGTATACTGTTCCGGTTGTCATCTCCCTGCCATGTCCCATTAAAGTCGCTTAGTGTACAACAGATTTGTGGACCGTCCCTCTGTTGACCGACTAACAGGAGGGTAGATCATGAGAAGCAAATAGCTTCGTGAACTTGGTTTGACTTTAGTTGTAAATGTTATATTTCACACGAGTGAAACCTACTCGTGTATATGGTGAATGTAGTTTGCATTATCGGCAATAAGGTAGCTTTTTTGTCCCACACTGCCCAAACGGAGGAACCGAGGTCAAAAGCAAGTATTTGGAGAGTACACGAATGCCGCACTGTGCAGCGGTGGCGGTGCAGCTACAGGAGTGATATCGTGGGTTAAGTGGCCACTTTGTATCATAGGTACAAGTAACCGGTGTGCGGACGACTATTGTCCAGGTCATTATTTTCACTTTAATCATCTCGCCATACGCGAGTCATCTGCAGTCAAGGGCGCCGCGATTGTCTGCGAGGACTAAGGCCACGCCTAGGGCACATATGTGATCTTGTTGCCCTATCCACACAACCAATTTGCATGCCTATATCCAAAAGGGTCTGGTGAGCAGAATACGGCCCCACAAGTATGTAAAGGCAAATGTAAGCGAAAGCTTCTTCTACATACTAGAAACGAAGGGAGCAAGAATGAGTATTTATGATATGTCTAGGTAAAACTACCCATATAGGTGGAATTATAGGTGTGTAAATGTAGTAGAAGGGTTAGAACAAATGTAAATAACTAAATGTACGAAAGAAGCCACGTTCAAAGGCATGAGATTTGCATATGAATGAATAATTAAGTTATTGTTTCTTTTTGTTAGGTCATCAGCGCAACAGTAAGAGTAATTCAACTCAGATTGACCTTGGACTTCGTGATTCTTGCGGCATTTGTAAAACTACTATATTCCACCGACCCTACGTTTGGCAAAATGAACAGATAATTTATGCGTAAGAAGGTTTAGAATAAGACTACAAATCGAAAATCAGATGATAAGACACAATGGCAACAAAGATCTCAAAAGGTAGTTTGAAGTGTGAAGTATTCCATGTTCCGATGCTCATTGCGCCATCTGCTTAATTCACAGTAGTTAGTAGTATTACTGGACGAGATGTACCGCTATGTAACTACCCAAAACCAAAAGGCAGGAAATAATGGAAAGGGCATAGATTCGAAAACACCACTGCACCAAAGAGCGGATACATAAGTGTGTAGTTTAAGTACGAACGTCATGCTAAATAGTGAAAGCAAAACCCAGCGCTGTCTCCATTGCGCAGTAATGCTCCATACATCTGAGAAATTCTCAATGAAAGCCAACTAATTACCAGTCCCTATTTTTTCACACAAATACGAGTTGTTTTTCCGCCTGGAGGCATTCAGAGACCTCCATATTATACAAATCAGCCAAATATCTGTACATTCTACGCATAGTACACAACGCTCTTTTTCTTTATTGAGTTGTGCCTTCGTTACATGATCTCTATGATAAAAGAAGTTTGCCTAGTTTACCCAAATATCTGTACATTCTACGCATAGTACACAACGATCTTTTTCTTTATTGAGTTGTGCCTTCGTTACATGATCTCTGTGATAAAAGAAGTTTGCCTAGTTTACCCTCCTGACTATACCAAAAAAGTCAATCACTAAGGTTACAATCCCATCTGATACTTGGTTCCGCCTTGCTGTGAGTGTACAAGAAAACGTCAGCCAACGACTTAGCGTACCGTAGGGGTAACATTGGTATAACGTCCTTTAGACATGCTAGTGCAGCAAGCAGCTGTTAGGCGATACTAAACTTGATTTCCCGAGGACAACATATTGAGTTAACTCTTAAATGGAATTAAAGTGCTTCAGGAGCATGATTTAGGTCATGTTTAGATGTTCAACTATAGAAACAAACAGTTACTAGCAGTTCTAGTGACTCTTACCAAACATCCACCGTTCCCTCTGATTCGCGTCGGGTCCCGGAACCTTACGACGCGAAGGATCGAGGGGTTACTGCACTTGACTTTGTATAACGGTCCTTTGTACGCTATTATGCGACCTGTGTTTACCTACTAGAGTTGCTTGGAACTGAAACTAAGCAATAAGAGAAAATAAGTTCTATTCCGCTTCTTCTTCGGTCAGGGAACAGTTTGTTCGTACTCCGCTTATGACATGTATACTTATTATTAAAAGCAATGATTGGTGGCCATTCATATTCAGTGTTTAGCGTCCACAAGCAGGCGAATCTCAGTTCGGTTAACTAAACACAAAGTACAAACTTCAATAGTAGATTAAAAGACACAGAGGTCATTGACTAAATTCGATCCAAAGCACTCAAATGCCCAAAATTTGTGTTTATTCGCATGATGCTGCATGGCTATTAAAATCTGCGGAAGGTTTATTTCACAACCGGCAAAGATATTAGCAGGTAATTTATCCAGCGAAACACTCGTTTGCTCCATCTAGCTACAAAATAAAAAGGCATCTACAATGTGGAACTGCTATAGATAATTCTAGGGCTTTATCGGATGCCTGAAATTATGGGAAAAATAGAATTTTAAAATTACTTTAAAGTTCTTCGAATAGATGGTAAAAGCATTTCATCGATGGCCAGTAAAATCCACACTGCGCCTGCGTAAGCCAACTGAGTTCGTTAAAGAGGTGAGAAGTAAAAAAAGTATTGTACAATGGTCTTTTCACACTATCATCATTGGTTAATCCTCAGAAAACTAATAGGGAATAGGAAGTATTTACTACTCACTGTGAATGGATATAGTGCAAGATTCTCTTAGGCGTACAACGGCTTTGCGTGCTTTATCGGCAGCTGCAGGTGAACTGTAATACGTTGGTTTCTTGTTCGGTGGCCAGCTTTGGTAAAGGGCCACTCCGCCAGCCATTGTACCTCGCCGGGTTGGTTGGTCTTTGGGCCATGCCAGTAGCCCTAATTCCTTCTGTATGCCAAATATATGTACTCTACCAGAGTGTTACGTCTTTTTGCGTCTTTAGGCAACTCTCAGGGCGCTACATTGGTGGATATTTATCCTGATTTCTACTCCTGGGTGATAAGACTTAGTGGGGCGGAAGTACATATTCTGCAGATAGGAGAATCGGTGATGACACCAGACAGAAGGGCTGAAATTGACGTCTACTTTCGGCAATATCCCAGTTACCTGTTCTGCAGGAAAGCCATTAACATCTGAATCGACGCTGGTCATGCACCGTCTGGAGTAGCTTTTTTGCAGAGTTCCCCTACCGTACTTGCACAGAGCCCTTGAAAGACTGAGCTCGCGATACCTCCTCCATTTCCTTACCAACTGGACAGAGCCAGGACAAATATGACTGGGCAGTTCCGAAGTGCGAACAACGTGACAAGGAGGAACAGATGCAAAACCCTTCCTCCACAGACCTATGATAAAACCCGTCTTTCCTTGTACAAGTCTGCTTTGAGGCCAACGTTCCTACCTCTATCTATGGACACGCATGATGGCCAGCACAGTTCTCCGTTCCTGAATCCAGTTCCCAAACCAGACGAAACTCCAGGTTCAGTTGATTTGCCGAGAGGGATCAGTAACATTGCGGTCAGTCGCACGGAAATTTGATGACTGGCACTACCGGCTCGTGGGCGCTTCCTCGCAGCACCGGCTACGTTGTGATGACTGACGGGGGAGATTGACCAAGGGGAGCACCGGTAATGGTGCTCAAAAGAAGAGAGGGGCAATGTAATACGTTGGTTTTTTGACTCACGGTTTTGGTTAAAAGCCACTTTTAACTTGGTCGTTGTACCACGCCGGGTGGCTAACCTTCGAGCCATGACAGCAGCTCTATTCCCTTCTGTACGTTGAATATGCATATTCTGTCACAGTATTACGTCTTCTTTCGTCTTCAGGGTGGTCTAGGGGTGCTACAACAGTTTCTATCAGTTGAGATCACAGCCTCACATTTGCGCGTTAAAAATGAACATTGTAGAACGAGTCCTGTCCAGCAGAAATAATTTCAGTCACGGATGACTACTGGCAACTCATCGATGCACTGATGCCAAGTTGTCACCAATAAATCAATTGTTTGAGGCAGTCTATGTGCCAAAGAGACTGTTTTCGTTCAGCATTTCACTTGAGTTGAGCCTGTTTCTACTACATTTTTCGGAACTAACTCCGTAGAGAAGATCGTTCACATAAACTGACAAAAGCTAAGAATGATGTGACGGCTTTAATTGCCAGATTATAGTGTTAAATCCTACACAACTATTAGTGTTAAAAGCCAAAATCCGCTAATAACTATATCTTAAACGTGTGAGCAAATAACAACAATGCCAGGTCAGGTTTCCCAGTAAATCGGCGCGGGAACGGCACCAACCAATGGCACTAGGCAAATCTCACCCACCCAAATGGAACAAATTTAATGTACGAAGGCGCACACGACCTTCACACTAGCCGCGAGCTATTATCAAGGGCACAGACGGTCAGACAAACTCAACCTAAATTATAGTACCGGCCAAGAGTAAATACAGTCCCTGCTGTTGCGTGCGGTTATGGGGGAGGCGTTGAGCATTTGCCCACTGCCTTTAAAAAGTGATTCTTTCCACCATTAACTATCCAAATTGAGCGTTGAGGTAGCAGCCACAGCCACCCGGCGAAGGGTTCCCACCGAGCTCCGGTGGCCACCCCGTCGAGGCGTCAAAACACTGAAGGTATGACGTATATACAAGCATGCATTTCCAAAGGACACGGTGTAGCAAACAAATACTTGAATAACGCGACGCTAAGTAGTACATGGTTGATAGCGATCCTCCATCCGGTAGCAGTGATAATCAACAATTGTAGTAATTCAAATAGAAAATGCATGGTAGGCAACGACAGCCGTAGAAGCAAACAGCTGCAATGCCGCCTCATACTTCACCCGCCGCTTCACAGGGCGAAACCGACCCCCGTTTACTACTACCTTCCACCACTTGCTCCGCATCTTCGTATATCGTGCTTGTATTGTCCTCTCCGTCATCATCATTACCGAGTTTGTCATCAACATCTTCGTCCTCTGGGGTACCATTAACATCTTCCTCCCTATCCAGAGTCGCGAAGTCGTTAGGACTTTCATCAACACTATCATCAGGGGAATCATAACCAGCAGCAACCTCTCCATCGTCACTACCAACGCGTCCGTTAGCAGTTTCATGTATTACAGAGGATTCTTCAGTCTCAGTAGTAGCGGTGGTTTCAGCAACTCCACTCCCCTTCAAGGTAGTAGTGGAACCGGGAAGGCGTGGCCTTGCTTGGTCGTGGACGTGACAGACCCAGCGGCAGCGGAAAATTAGAGCAGCGGTCATCTTGGTCATCTGCACAGGGTCGGAGGAGCACCTCTCAAGGACTTTTAACGTGCGGAGCCACCGGCTTGCATCCAGTTCGTGTACGCGAATGAGCTCTTTACCGTCCTTCGTTGAGGTGTGATCCAGACAATATGAATTGGGACAGCGACAGCACATTTGCAGAGACGGATTTCCACAGATGTCACAGAAGTGCCAAGGGCAGTGCCAATCACCTGACAAGAGGAAATGATAATTACACTACACTACACTCCACTACTATTTATAAGTTTTTATTTATAGGTTACCTCTGGGAGGTGTGCTCAGACCTAGGCAGCCAAGATGATACACTCTGGGGCATGAGGCTCTGTTACACACTATCATCTCTCCGCCGTCACCGCAGCTGAAATAAAAAGGTAGAAAAACACAGAAAAGTTTGGTTGATATAGATGGAAAACAAAACGAGACTTCAGAGACCCACTAATTGCATTATTTGATGGGTTTATTCATCGGCAAGATTATAATCAAGAATAATTCCCAGGAGCTAGCTCGAGTAATTCGCTACAGTATGAAAAATGAGACTTACCGGAAGCAGTACTCCTCGTGAAGAGGCTGCGTCAAGCGTTGAGTGACAACAACTTTGGGTGTGCAATGGGTCGGAGTCGCGGGTGTGACCGTGGCTGGAGCCGGTTTTTCTGTGGCTGCGGCTGAAAGCAGATGGTGCGGAATGGTGTTGCTGCTGCTACTGCGGCTTCCAGGAGGCAAGTTAGGCTCCAAACTCCGTACCGGAGGTTCTGACGGTGGCGGCATCGACCGCTCCGTCAGCGATCGTTGCGGTGGCGGCGGCGGCCCCATCGTCTCCGGCCTTCGCAGCATCTCTGAAAGCCGGCCGCTACGCAGCGAACGCTCCGACACTGACGATTGTGGCTTTGGCATTGCCAACGCGGCAGAAAGCCTGCCTTTTCGTTTCTTCTCAGTGGAGAGGAACTTGTGTGGCAGCCTAACGAATCCATCACAGGCTTCGGAGCCACAAACACAGACATTAATGGCGTTCATGAAGTAGCAATCGAGTAGTTGAGCTTCTCGATAATCTATCGTCACTTCCTCCTGCTCCTCCAGATACCTCGTGGCGAAGAAACCTTAAAGGGTGGGATTTGTGGATTTTTTGGGGGAGACGATGCTTTACGTCTATTACTCAGGAAGAATTAAATAAACCTATCCCCTTAGGGACAAATTTAAAATAAAAGAATCTGGTACCATCAACTGGGTCCTACTTTCATCGATGCATGAGATCGTCATTGTCAAAAAATTGAAATACCCACATTTAACTGTCACAAAAGTAGTTTAAGAACTAACGAGGATTTTATTACACGTGCCCTTACGTTGCTACACTTTTTCGCCTGAAAGTTCTGCTCACCAGCAGCACTTAAACCCATTAAGGGCTCACAAAAAAACTGCTGTTGAAACGGGATGTTATTATGATCAGGGAGCAAATACAGCAACCGTGCCTCCTCTTTCATTAAAAAATCATGTAAGTAAACTCTGTAAGATATTGAAAAAATGGCGATATTTTCACACCATCCTATTAGCAAAAATGTAAGGTAAGTTGAGGAAAATAGACTGAAAGTAAGACTCAAAGACTAGTGTGATAATCCTTGCACCAAAAGAGCTAGTTAAAATCCGTTACATGAAGGATTTCGGTATTAAAAACGGAACTAAAAGGCATCCCAATACGACTCAGGATACAAATAGATGGGGGAATGGTGTTATTACAGAGCACAAATAAATGGTTTTATCAACAGTATCTACGAAAAGATTGGTTACTCACAAATACAATATCTCCACCAAGTGATTAAAACATAGTGTTTTCCGACAATGTTTATCTTCCAGGCGAAAAATCCAGCTTTGTTAGAGAGCAGGTAGGCACTTAAAAATGCAGGAATATACTCTTTCTCTCTAAACAGGGAAGTCAGGGTATAAAATGACTGTTCTAGCGGAAGCTGTGAAATTGTCTGCGCTACTACTGGCGTGGTGGTCACAGGCCTTTACCGGACATCAGTGGATCAATATTCACGGTGATGACATGATACGCTATATCGTGTGGGGTTCTAGTCATCCAGTCCCTCTTCCAAGTTATGATAAAGCTCACATCCTCTTAATTCAAGCGCTTTGATACTGTTACAGAAGTAATTCGATTGATCTACAAGTAGAAGAACCATCCCTAGACCACCTATGTTTTGATCCAAAGGGAGGATGTGAAAAAGGTAACGAGAGACCAACCCAATCGGAGAGTGCCATCGACATTGTAAACCCTGGACATGGCATTGGGTTCGCAGGAGTGGTTCACGAAGCGTGCTTCATTGCCCACTTGGCTGGCATCGATGACGAGGGCGGATGTGAAGCGTAGAAGGTGGGTGGAGGGCAGCAGCTCCGAGTTGTGCGCAGTGGCCGCCGCTGCGTTGCATGCCGCAATGCCTTTGGCCAGTCGGCGGTTCGCCTCCGCAATATTGATCACCTCGCCCACGTACTCAATCACCAAAGCGCCCTGACAAAACAGGGTAAAGGATCAGATTTGACACCCTTGATAAAAGGTACTTTAAAGGTTTTCTGCGGCCTCTATGCGCCTTAAAGTTTGAAAACCACCAGAGTCGGGATGGTCATTGACGAGCAAACGTACAGCCGTCTCTGAAACACTGACAACATTCAAACTTCTAGCACCGTACCTTGCTTCGAACCTTCAGTAGACACGAGTGGATATCCAGGAGTTATGCAAATTCGCCTTTGCTCGCAAGAAACCCCATCACCACACCCCTTTCGAACAAAAACTACTATCATTTACTGTAGTGAATAACAACAACTAGGATGAACTGGCCCGAGACATACGTCGGACATTACGAATAGCATAGGACACAACCGGGACCTACTACCGGATGTAGTACCGTCGCATTAACATCCATTATTTAAACCGCAAAATTAAACATCCGAATTCAAGTCGATTTAAGTAAAAGTGCTGAACAAAACAAGCAGAAGAGTTCTACCTTGGCCACAGGATGCACCACTTTGAGCCCAACGCCACGATTGGTTGTGAGGAGGAGAGAGACTGCAGGAGGGTTGCTAAAGTTCCGATTACCGCAGTTACCTGATGGATCGCGTGCCATCACACTGCAAACCTTAGGGCTGCATTCGATGCCCCCCAGAATGTTGCGACAGTTAGTGTCCACAGAGCATCGCCAATGTACCCTTGCTTCAACCTCCCTGTGTCCACCACGCCTCGAGTTCTGTTGGTCCTCTTCCTCTTCCAGCTTCCGCGCACATTCGCACGGTGTGGTGGGGAGAGTATGTTTCGCCAGCTAAATGGGAAACGAGAAGCAGTTACAGATAAACTAGTTCCTAATTGATCAAATGGTAGTAATGTTGAAGAAACGTACCATTTCTTCATCTGACGAAGCATAGACATTTGAGGAGACGCTCTCAAACTTGACCATAGCCTCATCCAACGCCTTGGCCTCGGTCTCGGAATGGGAGAGAATACCCACGGCTGCAGCTGCCTCGAGCGTAGAAAGGGGTATCAGCTGCTCATCCGTCAGTACCTCCGTCATCATGGAGACCAAACTGAGACCTCGCTTTAGTAGGTAGCTTACGTAGAGTCGGTGTACCTGGGGAGCCTCACAAAGAGCTAGAGGAGTCAACGGATGGGTAAGTGTTAGTATATACAACTGCTAGTTCTATGAGATCATTTGGTAAAATGCATTCATGAAAAAAAAAATGGAGGGAGAAAACGTGTCGATAATTAATTTGGCGCAATACCATTGCCATCCTCTGTAAAAAGTAAGTCTAGAGTTGTCCCAATTTGTCCTACCGCTTCTTCTGCTTCCAGCGTCATTTAATCGTCAATTTTCTGTCATTACCACCATTGTTATTTCCCCTTTCTATCCTACTAGCACCCCACGAATTCCCCTTCACCACGTCAAACTGTTTAACAATCAACGAAACCAGTTAGAACGAAAATCTTAAATGTAATAATAAAACAGAAGGCTTGAGGGAATCGTTAAATGAGGAGAAGCAATTTCGATAAGAAAATTAAATTCGTGAACCATAAACACCGTCTGGTAGTCACACACCTCTATTGAAAGCCTTATCCAGTGGGACGATGGCATTAGAAACATCAACAGCCAACAACGAGCCAAGGGCACATTCAAAAGGAAGAGTTTGGCACCGGTGAACCCAGCCATACTCGTTTGACCCGATAAAGTGGATGACAAACTCGCCGTCGGAGTGCTTGAGGCTGTAAATGTTCAGGGGGGCATTGCGACTGTGGATGATTTCACAAGGCCACCAACGACAGCTGTGCACCTTGACCCACACCACTTGTGCATAACGCGGTTGAACGCCCCATCTACAGGGAGAAGGACGCGGACGAATGAGCGCAGAAATAAGAAGTGTAGAGACGAGAGGAGGTGCTGAAACCCACCTGCAGTTGTTACAATTGAAGATGTTCTGCTTGATGATCTTCTGCTCTGAACGTGTATTACCCAGGCAGGTGCGGTGATAGGAGGTTGGACAGAATTCGCAGTTAACCTGGGGAAGAGTAGACCCAAGAAAGTAAAAAAAAAACACCACCAGTGTGGAGAATGATTGTGTGTTGCGTTGACAATAATAAAATGTAGCTGATATTTATCACCAACTCATTACACTTGAAATGTAATTTCCAGAACCAAAACTTTGGGGCAAAACAGCACCATCAAGCTTTTCCATATAGGAGATCACACATTTTACGCCTTTCTTATAATACCAAAATCACCGCCGTTTAAGTGTTATGGGAAAAAATCATTGTTCTTATTTTTTCGTCAAAGTGACTAGAGCAACAACTTTAAGGGAGGAAAGGAGAGGACAAGATGGATTACCCTGTCAGATCCACCATCGCGACACGCGAGGCAAAAAGGCGCAGCAGGGACCCTTTTGGTTGGTTTGAGGTGAGCCGGACAAATGATGTGCGATAAGGAGAGCTCACGAGAACCCGCTGGCGTGCACAGATCCCCAGCGTGGAAGACCCGAGGACACCTTTGAGCAAAGTAGCGTTAATATAGACCTCTTATCCTGCTCCCTCCGAACACTCGTAATGTAGTAGACTGGAATTGATCATGCAGGCCATTTCAATACCATACCGTTTTGTTGCCATGCTGACACCGTGAAGCTCTGCCGGAATCGTCAAGGCTATTTCCAGCCCTATGTATCTTATAAGGTACGCAGAAATATAGCAGACGCTTATAAGGATTACTAGTAAGGCATCATAAAGGTGATAGGAATATTGATTGGGGCAAATAAGCATTCCTTGATGAAATTATGCTCAATGCGGGGTGAACCGTGCTTTGCGAGAAGAAAAGCGAATCCTGGTACCGGGTAGCGAATTTTGCTCGCTAGACCCATAAAAATATGAGGCTTTTTGACAAAAATACCCGTTAAGGGAGCGCTGTCAAGCAAAGGTCGACTTACGAAAAACACTGAATCATATTTCGGCCTGCAACGTAAGGCGTTTTAGGATTCTCCAAATAACAGGTAGCACAAACGTGGGAGGGACATCGTAAAAGCCCATCTTTAAATATTACACCAGGCTGGCATTCGAGACAGTGGCGGTGATACCACTTGCCACAGTCCTGCATCTGCGAGAGGGCGCTGTTATACTGCAATGTATTTTAAAACTTGCCTGACAACTATACATCTCCTCACCCGTAGCTTCACTTTCCTTAGCCGCACCGCAGACATTACAAAGGTATTTCTTATTCTGACAGTCGTTACATGTAAACTTAGTTGGATTTCCAATCTCTAAAAAAAGAAAAAGAATAAAGGAATGCTTAGGCGGATGGATTGCATAATGATGCTCACCCCTGTCAGAAGCGGTTGAGTCTGGCAAGCAACCGGGATGCCAGTAGCGACCACAGTAACCCCTGCATTTTAGCAGCACGGAACGATCATTTGAGGTCTCTGTGCATACAAAACAGACCGGCTGGAAGCGATAAGGTCCCGGCGAAGCGATTAACCGAAGAATTTCCGCGTCCACTTTCGATCCACCTTCGGCTACCCGCCGTCTGGACTATCAGTGATTCCAAAATAAGGTAATAATCCCATGAAGAAAAAAATCATATTGTGCAAACTTCACTCATTTCGGGCACAAAACCTCCCGTTGAATACCCAGTATATTCGCTGCAAGCGCCACAAACACGACGAGAATTTAATTTCCATGCAGTAAACATATGAGCTGTTTTAGGAAGTATATGAGATATTCTTGGTCTGATACTAATTCTTCTTTTGGTTAGAAAATAATCGGCGTTATGTCTGAACAAAAAGGCATCTAGAGTTTTAGCGATCAATAACCTTCTGCGACCCAAGTAGTGAAAATACTAAACCTACAGATAATGCGTAGAATGCACTAAAACAAATGTTAAAATATAGAAAGCAAAAAAAACCCAGCACACATTAAGAACTACACCGTACTCTCTCAGCTTTCGATCCAGCTGATGAAACTGATTTCCTGGCAGATGAAGAGACAGATCCTGATGCACTAGATCGTCGTCCAGTTGCACGTTCCCTCATTTCTTCGTCCACCTTTAAGGAGAATGACATCAAGAAACAAAAATGAATTGTGCAAAATTTAAGGAAGAACCAAAACGTCAAAAGGAAGTTTTACTCCTGAAGCCTTTATTTCGGAAGAAACAGGAATGGACGACATTTGAAGAAAACTAGTAGGAATCTATTTAGGTTAAGAAAGAAAGAAAGAGAATTAGTTATTAATACTAAGCACGAAGTCTAGCAACACTTTTGTCCTTTTTGCAAAATGTATGAGCTCTGGTGAAAGCCTATGTTTTGGTTGAAGCTCATCAAATTGGGTAATAAACATGAAGCACAAAAACTCCGATATTGTTGGTAGATGTAGAACAAAAAAGCATAACATGGGGAGTGCACTGTGAGTTACGATGGCCCATAAGGATCAAGTATAATGCATATACTTCAAAAGGTTGCAAACGTACATCTGCCGTGGATTCCAAACCGAATATTGCTAATTTTTTAGACAAATATGAGCGCTGTGTGGCAAAATCAAAGCCAGACCATTGAATGCGAAGTACTCTGTCAAGTTCAGCTTCGCTAATATTAGGATTTAGCTCCAGACGACGAGCTTTCTCTGTTTTCAAAAATGTGTCAAGCGACTCAGCCTCCTCTTCAATCGTAAGTGGAATTCTCTCCACATTTTTTAACAACATGGCTGAACGTAGAGTAAAGGAAAAGAGCTTACCCTCTAGTTCAGGTGCAGCTGAAGAAGTCTTAGGGGGATTGACAATTCGATCAAAAAGCCGGATTCGCTCTTCTAAGGGAAGCTGGCAGGCAGCTTTGGCTTCCCTACAAGACTCTTCCCACTTGTTCCTCTGGGAATTGGGAACTTTTAACTCGTACTTGGAGCCCTGTGACTAATGACACAATATACGAGACACGAGTGTACGAGACATACTTTACGGAGTTTTGCTAGCTGGGACTCTAATTTACATTTTGAATCGTATGGGATGAGATTAGTTTCATTAATCCATGCGCGCTCCGCAGTCGGTCCGAAAAACTGAACATGGTACTTTGAAGTGGTTTTCAGATGTTTAGCATAACCATCCCCATCGGGACTATTATATATCATACAAGGCCACCATGGATAAGTGGCGACTTTAGCCCAGTACATACGACCTAAGGAAAAATCGGACTGATCGTACTCCATCCGTGTGGCGGCTAAATACAGACATCTCACCATACCATTTTTAAATAGAGCACTTACTAAACGTTAAACTAACCAATGGACACTCGGCATCCCGGCTAATGAAAATATGCTAAATTTCGGTGCGAAATTTGTAACAAATTAATTGCAACAAAATTATAAGTTTTTAAGCTCATTAGCAGTTTGAGGCGGAAAATTTTGGTCAAGGCAAGCCCAAAACTTTAGTGCGAATAAATTCTTGTATATGCAAAATTTTCCTGGTCTTCATATAAAGTTTAGTTTGCATGTCTTTGTTACGCAAAATAGTTCAAGGAGATTGGTTCTGAAGCCTTCTACAGCAAACATGGATAATTAATTAAGACACTTGTTCCTGTATCACCCTCATTTCATGCATTCGAAATGGTCCAACAAATTGGTGTTTTACTTTACCATGTGTGCTTACCGTACTACATCCGGCATTTTGAATGATTGTGGACTCGCGGGTGGGTTTACGCATCTTAACACTTTCGGTCCTCCTAGTTTCCTGGGTATCTACTTGTATGTATTTGCTTTATATTTCGACGGGTAGATGGCTGATGCTCTTTAGTTTTTTTTGGTGCATATAGGCCTTCTCGATTAGCTACCAACTTTTAATAATAGCTTCTATTCAAGGAAAATTTGTGCGTTATAGGCTATTCGAAGCACTGAATTCTTGTCAAATGTCACATACGGTGGATATCGTTATCGGTGACCATTTCAAAGTACTGCGAAACAATGGGCAGTTATGTAGGTGGATTCTGTTCCCATTTCACCCTAATAGACCCTGCTTCCATTGTCGAGACGCGTACAACGGACATTGGTCAAGTGGAATACTTTGTTCACTACTTGAACTGTATGTCAAAGAGTCCTTTATTCCTTCAACCCTTCTAGTTGATCGCCGCCTTGATGAGTGGGTATCAGTGGATCGCATTGACACTACCTCTAAGTTTGTCGTCCCTGCTCCTTTTGATGGTGTTTTGCTTGTTCCCGGTCAGAATGATGGACGGCTTACTCGCCATCAGAAACGCCGCTACGAGGAGATGAACACCCCGCCATCAGTGAGTCCCTTCCTGCAGGTTGCGGTCGATTCAAATCAAATCGTTTCCCATTGTTTTTATCACTTCCACTCCCCAGGAACTTGACCCTGCAAACACCATTACAGAACGCCTAGAACGCGAGCATCAAGAGTTCACTCGTGTCAAGTTCATTGACCAGGTTCATTTCGGCAAGTACGAGATTGGTACTTGGTATTTCTCGCCCTATCCTGACGAGTACAGGCGGCTGAAATGTTTGTGGATCTGCGAGTTTTGCCTCAAGTACATGAAGATGGAGAAGACGTGGGTGCGTCATATGCTGCACGAGTGCAGACAGCGTCAACCGCCGGGGCGAGAGATCTACTGCAAGGGCTCTATTCGGGTTTTCGAAGTCGACGCTTCTAAGGAGAAGGTAGGATGTTCTTTTTTCATCCCTTCAAAACTGTGGCGCTTGCGTGTTCCTAGTTGTACTGCCAGAATCTCTGCCTCCTTGCAAAGCTGTTTTTGGACCATAAGACTCTCTACTACGACGTAGCGCCCTTCCTCTTTTACGTCCTCTGTGAGGCTGACACTGACGGCTGCCATGTCGTAGGCTACTTTTCCAAGGAACGTATTTCGGTAGACAACAATAATCTTGCGTGCATTCTCACGCTTCCGCCCTTTCAGAGGAAAGGTTATGGCAAATTTCTCATTACTCTCAGTAAGTCTGTCAAATATCGGAAGCCCAATCTCCTTGAGTGCTGTCATTTTACTAATCATCACGAGTACCTATTGTTGTCACCAGCTTAAGCATGCATTTTCTTTTATGCTTTTTTACCACTTAAAAATAGCGATAAGCCAGTCAAAATAAACAGTGTTTTCAAATGTTTATGAAGTAGATCGTAGCCCAGAAAGCTGAGAGATCGTGCAAAACAGTGAAAGTATTGTTTTAATTGTTTCATGTTGGGCTTGTTAGTCTTGACCACAAGTGAGCAAATGCACTAGTAAAAACTATAAAAATAACCCTTAAGTAGGATTTTGATTACTAAAGCAAGTATGGCCCCTC